TTACGCATTTGACTTTTCACCTTGGCTTTTCATTGTCTCCCTCAAAGCCCATGGCTTCTGATAAAGCAGGCCAGGGATTGGGTTTATCCATGGTGGTCATCTCCAAGTGTACTAGCCAGGGACTCTCTTCAAAGAGCAGCTAGCTTTGGTTTATTCCAAGGTTGTGACCTCCATATTGAAGCAAGAGATAATCCTGGCCTAAAATATGGTTCCTGGCAGGTAAAAAATTGCCTGAGATAGCCATAAACAAAAAGTTAGAGAAAAGGAATTTAGCAATGTAGCTGACCTAGACTCCTTCATGAATAGAACATATAAGAAAAAGCTGGTTGTCATGGTTTTCATCTTTCCATGGTCTGCTGACAATGTTTTGTTCTGAGAAAGGTAAGATCATGCTAAATATTGCCTTTACAAGTTTCATTCCAGTCTCAGTTACTGGTACCTGAGAGACTGGACTATAAACAGTTGGATTAAAGAATGCTTCAAATGGCACACGTGACAAAGTCTTGTATACTTTAGTAAACAAAGTATAATATGGAATTTTCCCAGATAACTTTACATTCAATTTATTCATGGATTATTTTATAAAGAAAATAAATCATGAAGGGGATTTAGCAATGGTTTCCCAGGTCATGCTGCAAGAAAATTTTGACATACAATCCCCTCAGCTGCTCTCCCTCTATGTTTTTTATTAGTAACTAGAAAAGAAGAATTTAGCTGAGAAGAGAAGAAAATATCTGGAGCATCCATGTTACTACTAGATCTATAACAGGAGAACTTTATGTATTCAAGTTTCCAGTTGTAAAGCTACTCACTTCTGGGCAAAGTGGAATTTATGTCAAGGGCTTTGGGGTGTGTTCTATGCTATGCTCTAATATGAAGCCCTAGGCATCTGGATAAAGCTTTTAAAATTATGCAGTAAATCATATGCTCCCCAGGAGACGTTAAACTATGTAAAGCAATGCTTCATGCTGGATGGAGGTAGTGTTAAAGTATGACTCTCCAGCAGGGGATATGAGGAAGTCTAGGCCTAGAAATCAGAAATTCATTAGACTCAGAGAAGGCTTAGCAGTCCAAACTGCCTGAATATGCTGACCAGTTTAAGTAATTACACTCTAAGCAATATGATCTGGGTACAGTGGAGTCAGGAGTCCTGTTGACAGAATCCTATGGACTCCTCAGAAAGCATGGAACAATGAGAAGAAACTTCAGGGTGGCTCAAAAGAGAAATAAAGATAGAACCAAGATGGTGGAATACAGTGAGCGTTTTTCCTGAACATTCTATCCACTGAGCCACTGTGGCTAGGTAGAATGGCGGACCTAAAGTCAGGAAGACCTGAGTTCAAATCTGAACTTAAACACTTTACTAACTATATGACCCAGGGAAAGTCACTTAACCTCTGCTTGCTTTTATCCATTGGAGAAGGAAATGGCAAACCACTCCTTTATCTTTGTCAAAAAAAAATAACAAAACAAAACAAAACCCATGGACAGTATTGACATGCTATGATCCATAGGATCATGAAGAGTCTGACACAACCAAACTACTGAGCAACAATAGCAACAGTCAGGATCACACAAGATTTGGCAGCTTCCACATTAAAGGAGCAGAGGGCTTGGAATATGATATTCCAGAAGGTAAAGGAGCTATCTGAGAGTCTGGTATCTGAGAGAATGGACTACAAACAGTTTGATTAAAGAATAACCTACCCAGAAAACTGAGTATAATTCTTTGGAGGGGGGTGGGAATGGATATTTAATGAAATTGAAGACTTTCCAAGCATTCCTGATGAAAAGACCAGGGCTAAATAGAAAATTTGTCATTCAAACAAAATACCCAAGAGAAGCATAAAAAAGGTAAACATGAGTGAGGAAATCATAAGGAACTTAATAAGACTAATCTGTTTATATCCCAAATAGGAAGATGATATATGTAACCCTTAAGAACTGTATCATAATTTGGGAAGTTATAATGAGTCTACTTAAAGAGCATAGGTGTGAGTCTACCATGTTGGAATGGTCTCAAAAGAAAAATGGAAGGGTGAGAAAGAGGGATGCACTGGGAGAAGGGGGAAGGGAGAGGAAAATTGGGGAAATTATTTCATATACAAGAGGCACACAAAGATTGCATTTTATAATGAAGCAAAAATGAGGGGAGGAGAGGGTGGGCAATGGGTTCAAAGAGGGCAGAATACATACACACACACACACACACACACACGCACACAGGAACACACTCACTTAGTTGGATATAGATAGCCATCTTATATAAGAAGGAAGTAGAGACCAAGAGAAAGGAGGAAGGTGATAAGATAGAGGGTGGATTAAAGGTGGCAGTGGTCAGAAGTAAAACAGATCCATGAAGAGAAAATAGGATAAAAAAGAGGATACATCTAAGAGAATAGAGTGGCAGGAAATACCCAATTAGCAATCATAACTGTAAATAGGAATAGGATGAACTCAACCACAAAATGGACGAGGATAGCAGAATGGATTAGAAACTAGAATCCAAGAATATGTTGTTTACAAGGGACATTCTTGAAACAGAAAGACACACAGAGTTAAAATAAAGGGCTAGAGCAGAATCTGTTATGCTTCATTCAGCTAAAGCAAAAAAGGCAAGGGTGGCAATCATGATCTCAAACAAAGCAAAAGAAAAAATAGGCTTAATTAAAAGAAATAATCAGGGAAACCACATTTTGCTAAAATGTAACATAGACAATTAAGTAATAGTAATACTAAACATATTTGCATTTAATGGCATAGCATCCAAATTCTTGAAGGAAAAGTTAAATCATAGGAGGAAGTAGTATAACTATACTAATGGAGTCTGTAATTTCCCTGCCTTAGACTTAGATAAATCTAGCCATAAAATAAGTAAGAAAGAAGTCAAGAAGATGAATAGAATTTTAAGAAAGTTAGATATAAGTAGACCTTTGAAGAGGACATATTTTTCGTAGCTGTACAAGGCACCTTAACAAAAATTGACTATGTATTATTTCACAGTCATAAATCCACAAATGGAATATCTTTGGAAAAGCTAAGGATGAATAATAGTCAAAACATATGAATATGTTGTTTTCAAAGGAAGAAATGCACACTATCAACAACTAAATGAATAAATGCTGAGCTTGGATTCTATCATATTCAACAGATTGGCAAAGATGACATAAGAGAAAAATAACAAGTGTTGGGGGTCTTCAAGAAAATAGGTAAGTAAGTGCATTATTGTAGCATTCTGTAGAGAGCCATTCTGGAAAGTAATTTGTAACTATGCCCAAAATGTTACTAAACTGTGCATACTCTTTTGCTTAGTTATGTTACTTTTAAATCTATATCCCAAGAAGATAAAAGAAAGAGGAGAAGGACCTATATGTTCAAGGTTATTTATAGCAACTTTTTTTTTTAGTAGCCTAAAACTAGAAACTAAGTGGGGTGTCCACCTATCAGAGAACAGCTAAGCAAATTACGGTATATTAATGTAATGAAATACTATTGTGCTACACAAAATGATAAATATGCAGAGTTTTAGAGAAATTTTGGAAGACCTTTATGAAATGATTGAGAGTGAAATGAACAGAAATGAGATAACAATTTATACATTGACAACAACATTATAAAGAAAAACAAATTGAGATACTTTAGAACCCTAAGCAATGAAAAGAAAATCATTTCTCTAGAGGACAAGAAAAGAAATCTGCTACCTGCTTCCTCCCAGAGAGATGATGGACTTTAAATGCAAAAGGAGACATACATTTTGATGTGGAAAATGTGGGAATTTGTTTTGCAGGACTATGAATATTTCTTATGAGAGTTTTATTTTTCATTTTAAAAATTATTTAATTAAGTGGGGATGGTAGGTGGGAGTAGAGATGATAAACGCTTGTAATATTAATTATTTAATTTTAAAAAGAAAAGCTAAAGAGTTCAAACTAAACCCCAAATGAATCATTTTCTTTGCTTTGTGGTCTTTGTTAGATTCCTGAACTTGTTTGCTTAGATCTAGAGTCTATACTTCTTCCTGCTGTTAATATTTTCCCTGTTGATTTATATAATTATGTTCGAGGTCTCTTGGGTTTTCTTCTTTCTGAGATGTTTGGTAATTTCTATCTTTTTCCTCTTATTTTCCCTTGTTGCTCACTTTCTGACTCCCTCCCCTCAGATGATGGTTTCCCTAGGGGCTAGATCTCAAAGAATCTGAATCTTCTCCTGTTCTAGGCAATTCACATGTCACCATCGTAGGTCTCTGCCCCAAGTTATCTCTGGGATGACAGACCTATATCTAGCTGGAAGCTAATCTCTCTCTCTTATGGTTAGTAGAGTGCCACACAAACCACCCACATATAGTGCCTTGTTCTAGTGTCTTGTTCTACTCCCTCTGTTTGTCAGTTCTCTGGTCACTGACAAGTCAGAGACGTACCACAGTGGAACTACAGGGTTGTTTTCACTAGCTGGGTTTGGGAGGAGGAGGGGTGCAGTGTGAGGTTTGGGAGTGAATTCTATTTCTAGCCCATACAGGTGTCTTGCCCTCTTCTTCCTGTTCCTCTGCTCTCCTACAGAGATCTTTTGCAGCGCAGAATGCCACTGCTACTATACTGTCTATGTGGCTTCAGCAAACTTTTGCCCCTGGAGAGCTACTGAAGCACTCTCTGTCTATCAGGACCAGAGCAAACTTCCACAGCCTGGAACCAGGATCTCTAAAGCCCTGGAAAAAGGGAGGGGCAATTGGAAGGTGGGATTGAATTTTGTTGTTATTGTTTATGTCAGGTCCTTGGGTTTAGAAGAGAAATGAAAATTATGAAAGCAGAGGTTTTTTTTTCTTTATTAATGGAGGAAGTTGGATGAGGTGAGAGGGATAGAAGGCAGATTTTTGTTGACTCAAAAAAATAAAAATTATCTATACACAGGAATATATTGAATCTCTACAAACTGAATCACAGACTTGCCACTAAAACTCTAAGCAATGATTACTTCAATCTTTAGAAAAACTGAGATGTACTCACTTGAACTGCAAAACTTTAAAACCTTTGTATTCATCCTTCAAACGACTTGTTAGAAATATTTCATCTACCTATAAAAATAAGCATATTAAATTTAGTATTTGATTATACCTCCCTTGTGCTTATGCTCAGATCTGAGATTATGGTGCTACTTGATCAAGAGAGTTAATGATCAGTTTTATGATTATCGATGATCAATATGATGAGATTATAGGGAATAATTCATTGCTTGGAGGTAACTAAGAGGTGCTTGACCATAGCATATTGGTGTGAATGCTGACCACTTACTGACAGGACATAAGACACCTAAGATGATCAGATGATGAAGACTTAGGGAAATGTACATTTGTTGGACAGTCATTCTTGCCCAACATACAAAAAAGCAGGCTTTGATACTAGTTTACTTGCCCACCTTTTTTAAATTTCTCTTTTGATCTCAGATTTTTTTTCTACTTTATGAAGACAGAATAGAGTGCAATAACATGGAACTGTATTCTAGGGTAGGAGGAAGAAAGATTGACCAGCACTTGACCTCAATGACAACTAAGTTCTGTCAAGAAGTGTCAATAAAGCAGGTAGAGAGTCTAGAAGGTTATAGAAGGTCCCAGCCTACAGGTGATCAAGTCATCATATACAACTTCTTCTTCTTGCACTAGAGGATCCTAAAGTGGGAAAGGGGCCATGAATGAGAAGTAGAAGAAGAAAGAAGATATAGGGGCAGCAGCAGCAGCTATACCTTATGGTCCTTAGAGACTGGGAAAGTTGTCTCTCCCTCACATTGGGCCTTGGATCTCAGGGCTTCTGACACATTAGGGTGTGCCTTGGTGTGTCACTATAATCCATAGGCATGATTGTTGTGCCCAGACAGCCCCAAGTTTTAGAGTCACAAGTTTTGAGAATAATAAACTCTGAGAGTTTGAGGATTGGATCCTCCAGAGAAATTCCAGAGAAAAGGATTGTCTGATGCAGTGTGGCCCTTGAAAAGAGAAGACAATAATCCTTATATTTCTTGCATCATGTCTCACATGGAGAGCAAGGTCCTTAGGTTGCTCAGATAGTGCAAGATTGATGGGAGCAAAAGTATTTCTTTAGCAGCCTCCAATGTATGTTTGCCTTTTGAGGGAAATTAACTAGCGTGGCATTATGAGTCTATGAGGGACTGTTACGAATACGTGACAGAGAAGCATTTCACAAGAATGCTGTCCTGGTAGCAGCCCCAAGTTCAATTCCCTTCTTGGTAGGGTGCATTGTTGATGGGTTATTTGAGTGCTTTATACATGGTTCTATCTGGTAATGAGCTCCCATGAGTCCTTTTTTAGTGTGAAATAAAGGATTATATTTATATATGTATACATAACTAGAGAGAAAGAAAATGAAAGAGAGTGTGAAAGTAAAACACAGAGAAGGGGACAGGTAGGTGGTATAGTTGATAGAGTGCTAGGCCTGGAGTCAGTAAAACCTGAGTTTAAATCTGGCCCCCAACATTTATTAGCTGTAATAAATATAAATGTAATATAAATATAAATGTAAATCTCGATTTCCTCAACTGTAAAATGGGGATCATAAAAGCACTTATCTCTTAGGGTTGTTATAGGATAAAATGAGAAAATATTTGGAAAGTGATGTTTAGCACAAAGTATAAGTGTTAGCTATTATTATTATAATTGTTTTTGTTATCCAATGTGCATTTGGTATTTTGAGTGTTTATATATGAGTTAGTCATTCCATTGCCACATTTGGAAAGATCTAGATATAAGTTATACTATGAATATACTGGGATATTTTCCTCAAGCAACTCTAGAGGGGATAAGCTAAAAAGATATAATCTTTTGGGATCCACACCAATATAAATCTACTCTATGAGCGAGAACCTTTGGGGTCACAAATTATACTTTTAAATGTCCTAAGGTGGGAGCCAAGTCTCAAGATAGTGTAGTACAGGCAGCAACCCAGCTGACTCTCCCAACACTCCCTTCCAAACATCTTTAAAATAACTCCTCAAATCAAATTTTGGAGTGGAAAAACCAAAAACAAAAATCAGAATGAGACATTTCTCCAGGCTAAGTCAACTTAGAAGGATGAGAGGAGGGTTCTGTGACACTGTAGAAGGGGCCAGCCTGGAGCAGGGCAGCAGCACCAGCACAAGGAGTGGGCCTTACACATGGTTGTGATAGTGGCATGGTAGCAGTAGCAACACCTTTGGGAGCTCTTAGTCCAGAGACAATAAGGGGGTCAGACAACTGACCAGAAAGAGATTACCAGGAACCATTTGCTAGCACTGGGAGCAGCTGGTGCTGATTGGAAATTCTATTGCCTATCCATAATTTTGCATCAAAATTTCAGGGCAGAGAGGAGTTCTTATGGTTGGTCAAAAGGGAACAGGAACCCTGATCTCAGTTCCAAGGCATAAAAGAACAAAAGCACTCATGACCGCAGAAGAGTGATGGACTTGGTCAAGGTTCCAGAGGAGGACTAGCACTTGTGGCTTCAGGGAACGAGGGGCCCCTCCTGGGTAAAGACTGGAGTGTACTAGAGTATAAACCAGGAGAGCAGTGACCACACATTTTCACAAATTATGTGACCTTGGAAGCACCAAAAACTTGCAGACCCCTAGAACTAGTATTGAAACAGTAGCACAAAAAAGACTGAACCTTGGCTCTGTGCCTCCCTATCCCAGATGAGTAGAGTCCAACTTTAACATAAAGTTGAAAGTCAAGAAATAGACTGGAAAAATGAGCAAATAACAAAAACAAAAGAACTAGAGCATAAAAAAGCTATTATGGTGGCAGGGAAAACCAAGATACAAATTCAGAAGCAGACAAAAATGTGATAACTACAAGCAAAACCTCAAAGAAAAATGCTATTTGCACCCAAGCCCAACAAGGGGTGAGTGGTAGAGAAAAAATTGGGAAGAGAAATGAGAGTATTCAAGAAAATTATGAGAAGAAAATTAACAACTTGGTAAAAGAGATGTAAAAAATGGTGAAGAAAATGACACCAAAAAAAACACAAACAAACAGAACTGGTCTAATGGAAAAAAAGAGTACAAAATGTCACTGAAGAAAATAATTTCTTAGAAAGAAGAATGGAGCAAGTGGAAGCTAATGACTCCATGAGACATCAAGAAACAATGAAAAAAGGTCAAAAGAATGAAAAAAAATAGAAGAAAATGTGAACTATCTCATTGGAAAAACAACTGACCTGGAAAATACATCAAGGAGAGATAATTTAAGAACTATTGGACTACCTGAAAGTCATGATTAAAAAAAGAGCTTAGACATCATATTTCAAGAAATGATGAAGGGTATCTTATATATCTTAGGTCAAGAGGGTAAAATAGAAATCTAAAGAATCCATCAATCACCTAGTGAAAGAGAAATGAAATGAAATGAAAATGAAAACTTCAGAGGAATATGATAACCAAATTCCAGAACTCCCAGGTCAAGGAGAAAATATTGCAAGTAGCCTGAAAGAAACAATTCAGATATCATGGAACCACAGTTAAGAGGAGAGGAGAACTTGGAATATGATATTCCCAAAGGCAAGGAACTAGAATTACAGCTAAGAATAGCCTACCAAGCAAAACTGAATATCATCCTTCAGGGGAAAAACTGGATATTTAATAAAATAGAAAACTTTTCAGCATTCCTGATGAAAAGACCAGAGTTGAAGAGAAAATTAGACACACATGACACAGAAAGACACACACAGAGTTAAAATAAAGAACTGGAGCAGAATCTATTATGCTTTAGCTGAAGTAAAAAAGGCCAGGGTAGCAATCATGATCTCAGACAAAAAAAAAAAACAAACAAAAAACAAAAAAACCCCAGAGCCAATTAGAAGAAAGCCTACATTTTGCTAGACAATGAAGTGATTTCCAAATTTTTATACCAAATTTCTCTGATAAAAGCCTTATTTCCTCAAGAAACTGAGCTAAATTTATGAAAGTAAAAGCCATTACCCGATTGACAAATGGTTAAACAATATGAACAGGTAGTTTTCAGAAGAAGAATCAAAGCTATCTTTGGTCACATGAAAAATGTTCTAAAAATCACTACTAAAATGCAAATTAAAACAACTCTGAAGTACCACTTCACATCTATCAGAAATGACAAATGCTAGAGGGGATGAGAGAAAACAGGTACACTAATAAACAGTTAGTTTAAGTTGTGAATTGTTCTAACCATTTTGGAGAACAATTCAGAACTGTGCTTAAAGGGCTATAAAACTATGCATATCATTTGACTCAGCAATGCCACTACTAGTTCTGTATCCCAAAGAGACAAGAGATCTATGTGTACAAAAATTTAGCAGCTCTTTTTGTAGTGGCAAAGATTTGGAAATTGAGAGGATGCTAATCAATTGGAGAAATGGCTGAATAAGATGTGGCATATGATTATGCTTTATATATATTGTGCTATAAGAAATGATGAGGTAGGTGCTCTCAGAAAAAAAAAAAACACAGCAAGACCTATATGAATTGTTACAAAGTGAAGTGTGAACTAGGAGGTCGTTGTATACAGTAACAGCAGTGTTGTAATGATGACCAACTGTGAAAGACTTGACTACTCTGATCAACACAATGATTCAACACAAATACAAAGAACTTATGATTAAAAAATGTTGTCCACCTCCAGAGAGAGAACTGATGAACTCTGAGTGCAAACTGTAGCATAATTTTATTGCTTTCTTAATTTTTTGCATGTTTTGCATGATTTCACATACATAATTAATATCGCTTAGCTTGCCTTCTTGGTGGGTGGGGGAGGCATAAAGAGGAGGGAGAGAATTTGGAATTCACAATTAAAAAAGAAAAAGAAAAGAATGTTAAAATGATTATTTTTAAAAGAAAAATAAATATCTTAAGGGAATATAATTGATTTATCCAAATCTTTAAATTCAGAAAAGATAACTTTATTACTATTTTGAAGAATAATTAGATTAGTATGTGCTATATAATATTAAAATAGAGACAGGCCCCCTACCATTTGCCGAAGGTCATAAGCAAGAACTTTGAAATCAGTTGATAGTTTGTCTTGTAAACTTGGAGTATATGTTGCTCCAGATACTATTTTAAACATTCCTCTGGTTTTATTACTTTGGTCAAATACAGCATCTAAGGGGAAAAAAACCCAGAAATTTAAAACATATTAAAAGAAAAATAAAATATGCATATTTTAAGGAAGACTATAAATGTGAATAACTATTTCGTTCAATGTATTTGAATTTCTGCTCCCCTTTGATATCAGCTGTCTTCTTTTTTTGTATGAAAATATTTTTATATTATTAATTTTTCTTGCTTTTTTCTGGTCACTTTTCTTTTAGCTGCCTCCTGTCCCCAGCCACAATCTCTCTCTTTCTTTCTTTCTCTCTCTTTTTCTCTCTCTCCCCACCCCTCCCTCTTTCCCATTTATTTATTGCTATGTTACCTGAAGGGATTAATCAATATTCACCAATTAATGAAGTTGATGATACCAAGAAATATTGTGAAAAATAAGCCATTAAAACTTTTCAAGTCACTTGTAGATACTTATAGAACTACTAACATGTAGGAACTCTGCTGGCTTCCCATGTTCCTTATAAAGCTTTGAGTATCTGTTACTTTGATGCCTAACTTTAAAGATGTTGCTTTCAGTGTAATAATTATATAACAACTGGTGTGTGATTTTTCCCATCAGATAAAGTTTGCTGCCATTAAAAAGGTTTCAGGGAATGGTCCTGAAAGTTTCGTTGGAGAAACACAATAAGTTTACAAAGTATATGTGTGTCAATACAAATGTTGACTAATAATCTTAGCTTAATACTTTCCCTTAATGTATTTGATTTTAAGGCAAAATAAATTTTTCTTAAAAATATACTATATCATAGGAACTTTTGCTCAAGAAAAATAATATTATTTACTTACACTAAGTACCAAATACTATTTGCATTAAGTGCCTTGCTATGAATATTCCCGTACTTCCTATATTATTTCGCTTGTGGGGAGGGATGAAAAAGGAAATCAGTTTCAGTAAGTTGTTCAAACTTATTCTAGTGAATATAGCAGAAGGAATTACTTTGGGAGAATTTATTACAAATTAGCTATTACATTTTTCAATTTTTAACTAAAAAAGACAATAATTTACAATGTCACTTTATTATTTGTTATTTATAACATGTCACTTTATTATTAAACCCTTTAAAAGTATTAATATTGTAAATTACTACTTTAAAGGCTAATAATAATCATGAATGATGTATCAAAAGTTATCCACAAAACTATCTCATGCTTTCTTATCATCATAATAAAATATTAAAATTTTAAAAATACACTTTTTAGTCTTCATTATATCTTGTTTATCCTTATTAAGCCAGAGGCTTGCTTCATAATTTTCTTTTTTGTTTTCATATTTTTAAAGGATAAATAATTTTGAGTGGAGTGACAGCTAGGTGGCACATTGGATGGAATGTCTGGTCTGGAATCAGGAAGACTCATCTTCCTGAGTTCAAACATGGTCTCAGACTACTATAGACTACTACACAGAATTACTAGCTGTGTGACCCTGGACAAGTCACTTAATCTTGTTTGCCTCAGTTTCCTCACCTGCAAAATGTGCTGGAGAAGGAAATGGCAAACCACTCCAGTATTTTCAGCAAGAAAACCCCAAATGGAACAAAAAATTTGAACATGACTGAAAATGACTTCACAACAAAAAAATTTCTTTTTCTGGTTTGGCAACTGGTCTTGAATCAGAGGAACTTGACTTTTCTGGTATCATTTTCTTCATCTGTCAAATGAGGGGGCTATACTAGATAGATTATTTCTGTCCTTTATATTTTCCTCAAAATATACTAAACAGTATTAGTGATTCTTTAGAATTGAGTTGCATGCATATTTACATCTTTTAGGTTAAGTTTTGCTCTTATGAAATACATCATATGACCATAATTACAACATTTAAATCAACCAAGAGCAGAGAATAAAATCCACAAAAATTGCCCTCTTTATTAAAGTTCAAGAATATTATTCTGAATGTCTAAAGGAAAATAACTATTTCGGTAGTTGAATTTTTATTTTTTTATTTTTTTCCAATTCATATAAATGCACTGGGGATTCTTATTCCTCTTATGCCAGTGTGCTTTTACAGAGAACTCTGATTCTATAGCATAGATCAATAGTTCTTGTTTTTACAAGTTATTTTTAACTCTTGGGTCATGTCTGTATCCCTGGGTTCAATTAGTTCACATTTATTCTATCACTCTATTTGCTCAGAGATTTTTTTAGTTTGCTTTCATAATGTGTTTTTTAATTGCTATAATTAATCATGAGATCATAAACTTAGAACTTGATAAACCTCAGAGACAATTTATTCCAATATTTTACCAATGAGGAAACTGAAACGCAAAGAATTTAAATAATTGGCACAATGTCAATAACCAGTCATATGTACATTGCTCTCTAAAGATCACAGTTAGGATTTGAATCCAGTTTCTCTGAATGCAATACAGTACTCTGTTTATCACATTGCACCACATTTTATCCACCTTATTCATTACCATGTTTCAGAAAGACACAATAGTAAAACTTTCATTTTAAATTATTTATCACAAGTAGTAAATAAAAGCCTTTTACACTTGAGTGAGAAAAAATCAAAGATTATAAATCTTAAGGCATGCCAAAATCTATTTTTATGAATGTTGAAAATTAATACTATTCAATTTTACCCATCTAAAACATTCTTTCTGGCCCTCACTATCTGGATTAAAGTTCAAGTTTTATGAGGCCTCATTTTTTTTCTAGTAACCTATGAGGAACGATATACTCCACAAAAAACTTGTAGAACAATATAGTCTATAAATGCAATGCAGAAAATTAAAAAAACTCACTGTGCAATTGAGTTCAAAATGTTGAAAATTCTAAGGAAATTTATTAGTAATTGACTTTACATCACTTACCTTTTCCAGATTCCTTGATAGCTATCCAGGAAATCGTAATTAATCCACAGCTAACTACTACCAAAAAGGCAAAGAGAGATGCAAACAAGACTTCTTGGTCATTAAAAATATGATGCCTTGAAGGTGAGGGCTTTTTCAATCTCATTTTAATTTTATGAAATTAGTTTCAATTACACTGAAAAGAAATGCAAATGGATACGGAAGATCACCTTAAGCAGATAGAAAACTATTTCAAACGGAGAGATATTTATAGAAGTTTGGCAAAGTAATAAAAACATTAATTAGACAGTGGTTCCTAGTTGCCTTTCTTATATCTCCATAATTAGGGAGCTTTACAAATGAAGTTAATCTTTAAGGAAATATCCATGAACAACTAGAACTCTAGAGTCGTAAATGTTAATTATTGGCATTGTCTAACAACATGCTATCTGGAGAAGTGAACAGTTTGTCATTTTAAAAACCACTGAAGAAAATATGAGATTCATGTTAAGTAAGTGAGGAATAGGTACAACATTTTGTAATGATTAATTATATTACCTAATAGATCAACCTTTTGCCCCCTGACTCAGACCATTATTCTTGTATTTGCCTAATTCTCTATGGGATCAGAACTGTGCAGCATATATAGTATAAATGTCTAGACATAATCACACATATATCTACACATTTGATATTTTACAAACTTAATATACTGTACATATTAACTAATTAACTCTCAAATATGCCCTTTTAAATGTATATGGGTATAAAGTCTCACAAACCTGAGAGATAGGTTCAAATTCAAAGCAATTAAAATGACTAAATAATTATATTATTTTACAATTTGATGACTTAAAGGTAATCAATTCATATGTGTCCTCGTATGTCAAACAAGATAAAAGAATAAAATACTGATTGTTATTTTTAAGAAGCAAAATGGATAGAGACAAATTATTTCATTATATAAATATACATATATATTTATGTATACTATATCATTGACTTGTTTGTTGAATATGTTGACATCTCTATCTGAATTGGATGACTGTAACAAAAATTGACACAAAGGAAAATGTGGGCATATATAGAATGATGGGAAATTTTGATTTGAAAGCCCTTTGGCTTTTTTTTGAATGAGAATATTAAAGAATACACATTTTCCTTAGCATCACATATTACTTTACAAAAATTATCATGTGCCAACTTATAAAAAGTATAAATGTAAAAAGGCAGAAATAATGAAGTCTTAGTTAAGGAAATATTGGTCTAACTTTAATCTGTCAAATCCCCACCTTTGGTCATTCTTTGCCTTCCTTATTTTGTAGTATTGTTAAATACTATAAGTTATACTATTTTAGTATCATTAAATATTGTAATTTATATTACTATAATATAAATGCAGATGCATTTCTGGCATATGCCTCTATTTAACTACAAGCTTTATGAGGTTACAGACTGGTTTTTTTTTCAACACTATGTGTGTTCCAACACCTAACAAAGGGCTTTGCACACTGCATGCACTTAATATTTGTTTAATTCAATATAATGGGCCACATGTTATGAGACTGAGTTTATATTTTACTTTTTAAAATATTTGAATTGTGAACTTGATGAATATAAACAAACATTCCCATATACAAAGGAGAACAGAAAAAGAGGGTCATATATGAAATCATGAATTTCTATTATGTACTGTTTGGTTTTTTAAAGTCTATAATAAATATGATATGGTAATACCAATACTGTCCTGCTTTTCTGTATCCTCTACTGAACTTCCTCATGCTATGTTTTGTGCATTTTTAAATATTTTAATGAGGCTATTTTCCTTTTGATTTTTTAGTATCACTATCAATCCCTGCTCCCTGTTATTCATCTTCCCAAAACAATAGTTATTCTTTGTAATAAGCACAATCAAGTAAAATAAGTCTATAAATGCTGAGCATATCTGAAATTGTTTTTCATTTTATACCTCTAATCCATCACTTCTAACAAGAGTTGGGAAGCATAATTTATCATTAGTCTTCTAGAGTCATAATTTGTATAATTGGTCATTTGATCAGAGTTCTTATGTCTTTCAAAACTTCTGTTTTTTAAAACAATATTTTTGTTACTATATAAATTGTTCTCCTGGTTCTTCTCATTTCACTCTGCATCAGTTCATACAAGTCTTCCTAGATTCCCCAATACATCTTCTTCTATCTTAAGGTACAAAAAAATTCCATTATATTCAAATACCATAATTAGGTTAGCCATTCAAGAATTGATGGGTACCCACTATTTTTCCAGTTCTTTGCTAAAACAAAAAATATTACTATGAATGTTTTTGTACATACAGATCCTTTACGTCTTTCTTTGATGTATTTGAGCTTATATGTCTAGTCATTGAACTAGTCCTTTTTATTGCTATGGCTTTGTGTGCTCCAAGGTGTGCATTGCCCTACCCTAACTCTCTGTGTATTGACCTCTTGGGGCTGGCTCTGACCCTCACTGATACTCTGACAAAGCAAGGCTCAATTACCAGAATTCAAGCTGGCTTACATCTCCCCTGATGAGTTCCACTCAATATTATCTGCAAGGTTATGTCTCTTCTTATGCAGTTGCGCAAGACAGAGGAATTTACTGCTATTTCTCTTTTAGGTTCTTGATCACTGCTATTTGTGGTGAGTTTTAAGGTATATTTGCCAGAATGTATGTGTTCCTCTACAACATTTCACATCACTAGCTGAACCTTGCATTTAAAGAGGCAAGGAGAGTAGTAGATTTAATCTTAAGTATGACCATATACTAGCTTCTTAAGGAACTACCTTTTCAGTTTCCAGAATTTCAGATTTCTGGTGATGAACTGTGTTTTTGGTTTCATGGTGGAAATTAAGCCACATCTAGATGACCCATCATATCAGGGGAAAGGAGAAATTCATATGTCAACTGGGAAGGGATGGATCAGGTTTGATGTTGGGGAACTACTTTTTCATAATAGTTGGATTGGCAATATAAATAGCTAATTTATTTATTCCTAGATAAGCCTTAGAAGCATTCAGTCCCTACTATAATCAATAGGTTCCTAATGAACATTTGGATGTAAAGCATATTCTATCCAAACTTTGGCCACAAAGGAATAGAATTACTTCTTACTCCCTTCCCCAGAGGTTCAGTAGAGCATTCCAAGAAATTATCTCAAGAGTCCCCTTCAACCAACTTTAAAATAATGCATAAAACAGAATTCTGGAACAGCATGACCAACATAAGATTGAGGTGAGACATTTTTATAGGCCAGAAGAACTTAGGAGGTTGGAACGAAAGATCCATGGAACTGGGTCTAGGACTGGCCAAGAGCTCAGCACAGAAGCAACAGCTGTGTCAAAGGCCTGATCGTGGGCCTTAGAGGCTGTATCTGTGATGATAACAGTAGTACCAATAAAGCAGCGGCAGTATTGGGAGCTCTCTTGGCCCAGAGCTTGTAAGAGGATTGAATATTTGGTCAGAAAGAGATTACAAAGGACCTCCGTGCTGGCACTAGACATAGAGCTGAAAATTGTTTGGCAATTCCATTGTCTGTTATCCAGTTCCTGGATTGCAGTTCCAAGGTGGAAAGGAGTGTGTAAAGTCACAAGGGAGCAGGGACCCTACCTAGTTCCTAGTTCTGGGTGGAAATTCCAGGGAGGAGAGGAAGTAGAAGCCCTAGTTCCTGGTAACAGTTCAGGGAAGAGAGGGAGCAGGGGCCCTGGACCTAGTACCAGGGTCAGAGAGGAACACTAATTCTTCTTCTTCTTTCTTTTTTTGCTTTTTGGTGAGGCAATCGGGGTTAAGTGACTTGCCCAGGGTCACATAGCTAGTAAGTGTCAAGTGTCTGAGGCCAGATTTGAACTCAGGTCCTCCTGAGTCCAAGGCCAGAGCTCTATCCACTGTGCCATCTAGTTGCCTCAAGAGCACTAACTCTTGCAGTCACTAGAGGACAGGGGCCCTTTCTGGGTAAGGAACAGAACATAGACTAGGAGAGAAGTGACCACATCCCTTCCCATATCACACTACCTTGGAAACACCAAAATCTTACAGATCTCATGAAAGAGTTGTAAAAATAGCAGCACAAAAAAGCCTGAAGCATGAGGCAGTGACATCTAACCCTATAAAGATGAGCAGTGTCCAACTATAACATAAAGGGTTCAGTGACAAGAAATAGGTTGGAAAAATAAGCAAACAACAAAAAAAGAACCTGACCATAAAAATCTACCATAGTAACAGGGAAGCTGAAGACATGAACTCAGAAGAAGATAATGAAATGCAAACAGCTACAAGTAAAGCCTCAAAGACAAATGTAGATTAGACACAAGCACAAGAAGAATCCTTATTAGTATTAAAGAAATGGATAAAAGAACAAAAAATGACTTTAATAATAAAATTAAGAATGTTAGAGAAAAAATTGAGAAAAGAAATTAGAGAAATGCAAGGAAAGGATGGAAAGAGAATTAACAACTTGGTAAAAGAAGCACAAAAAATACTGAGAAAATAACTCCTTAAAAAAATAGAATTGGCCAAATGACAAAAGATATACAAAACCTCACTGAAGAAAACAACTCAAAAAAGCAGAACTGGTCAAATGACAAAACAGGGACAATATCTCCCAGAATACAATAACTCCTTAAAAAGTAGAATTGGTCAAATGGAAAAATAGGTACAACAACTAACTGAAGAAACAAATTTTATAAAAATGGTCAAATGGAACTCATGAAACATCATGAAACAATAAAACAAAGTCAAAATAAAGGAAAATGTGAAATATTTCATTGTAAAAACAACTGACCTGGAAATCAAAGGAAGATAATTTAAGAATTATTAGACTACCTGAAAGCCACAATTGAAAAAAAAAAACTGCCTAGACATCATATTATAAAGAAAAACTGCCCAGATATCTTACAGAGATAGAAATAGAAAGAATCCACCAATCGTTTTCTGAAGGTGATCCCAAAATAAAAACTCCCCAGGCACATGAAAGTCAAATTCCAGAATTTATAGGGCAAGGAGAAAATATTGTGATCAGCCAGAAAGAAGTTATTCAAATAACATGAAGCCACAGCATCACATAAAATATGGCAGTTGCCACAGTAATGGATCAGAGGGTTTGGAATATGATATGCTGGAAGGGAAAGGAGCTAGTATTACAACCAAGAA